GGGAGGTTTTGGGAAAAATGATTCCCCCCCCCCCCCCCCCCCCCCCCCCCCGAGATCAAATAAAGCCATGGGGAACATGTGTTTTAACCCTCAGAAGAATTGAACAAAAAGTCAATGTGTGGAGTTTCTATTTTTGGATGCTCTTGTTGCATGCTCTTAGTAACAATAAATTGATGATACAGAAGACAGACACCATATCACACCCTCCAGCTATCCCTGTTTCCCTATTGAAACATTCATTACTTTATATTGTTTTCACATTGCCAGCCACTGCTAGTTATTGTTTTAAATTGCTAGCACAGAGCTTGTAAATTACAAGATATTCCTCCCAGACTAAGGCTCGAGTTCTGCTCCCCTTGCGATATTCAGTGGGATTGCTTGTGCTTCTAGCATATAACTCATTGGAACAGTGAGAGAACTCAGTTTTTAAATTATTATCCATTGCCAGCTTCCCATATATTATATACATAAAATCTACTCTAAACAAACATTACTAAGTGTATTGAATTATGAAAAGTCTGAAATAAGGGGTAGTGCCTAAGAATACAGCATCTGCATTTGTGATTAGAAAGAATGATCACTTTGAGTTAGGAATAAAAAGCATGAAGGAAGAGAAAATAACTTGTATTAAAAAAAGGACTGTACTAAAATCAGGTACCCCTCCCCTTGCTCAGTGTTATCAGTCTGGAAAGATAAAGTTACATGGGCATAATTATACTCCTAAAAAGCAAAGAGTATATCCTTGTCTTTCATAGAAGTTTCTGTTTGGCTAGGAAACCTCACATGTAATGGGAGAGTTCTCAAAATGCTGGTATGTTGCAAGCATAAAATCTCTTCTGAAATTTCAACTTTACCAAAAATCATTCTGGTAGTAGCTGCTCACTGAAATTATTTATTATTTGTGGAAATATAATATAATATAATGTTATACATTTTTTTCACCAGCCCCTGAAGATGTGCAGTCACCTACAGCAATATCCTTTCCCACGTTCCTACTGATGAGTTGGAGTCCACCCAAAACACCAAATGGTATTATCACCCAATATACTTTATATATGAATGCAGTACCAATTTACTTTGGAAATGGAACTAAATATGTTGTAAAAGGTGAGTTCTCTGCTAGGTAGCATGTCAGATGAGTATCGCATAGTTGTTATGAATAATTATATGACTGACCCCTTTCAGAGGAAAAGAAAAATAACGTTAAAATGGGCTGGATGCACTTGAAACCCTGATGGGTTCAATTTTTTAAAGAATCCTTCACAGAACTCTCTGTTGGGACTCAGAAATTAATGTCGCCATGGTGTAGCTAAATCTTGTGCTGTGTTGTCCTCTTTCACAGCACCTGAGTCATCTTTTTAATGAAGTTTTATAACTTTTTGATCTCGTACCATCTAGCTCTCAAAACAAGTAAACTGTAAGCTGTTGAAGACAAGATATTATGTACAGGTTTAATAGTTTTTCCTACTGTCTTCCTTAAATATTCTTAATTAGAGAGACACTGTGTTGCTTTCCTGAATAGCCCATGTTTATTTCATTTGTTAAAAACATAAACTAATAATGCGTTTTCTTCTGATAAGTTATGCAATGTGTCAATAACCAAGTTATATCAGTACTCTTAAACTATTACAGAGAAGTTAAATGGCTGTTATTTGGCAGTACAGTGAAGCATGGTAATCTGACTTCCTATTTTAATGTAATTGGTGTAGTTTAATGAAGTATCCAAGTTATTTGTTCAGACATTATTCAAACAACAAAAAACAAAATAAAAAACAAAATATTGAGCTAGAAGTATCATAGCAGAGCATAAGCACTCTTCTGGACCCATCAGAATTTGTATATGGTAGTAGGTAGAAGTAAAAATGCAGCATTTCATATCGGACAACTCGGGGAAAAAGGGTACCAAGACCCTACTTTCTTTTTAATGTAAGGCCTTAAAATTCAAAGCTATTTCTGCATCTTGAGTTAGTATAAAACATATTTAAAAATTCATATAGTTCAAATTTCTTTGCCTTGCACAGGCCATAAGCTACCGGTGTGGTGGGTCAGTTTTGACACTGAAAAATGAATCCAGTTAGAGAACCTCCTGAAGGCTGTTGATGATCGCTATAATAAATAGTGCACACTTTAAGTCAAACTTTTTCATTCTGTATTCAAAGGTAATGGATTTTTCGTAACCATAGTAACCTTAGTGTATTTCTGGATAAATACATGAGGTATATACATTCTGGTTTTATTTTTGAATATAAACTACCACATTATGTATTACTAATAATATGAAAAATAGGATATAGGTTAGCATAATGACAGCTCAAACTAGTGAGCATTTTTCTTCTGCAAAAAAATAAATATTTATCAAAAGTATAGGTTCAAATAATTTCTCCCCCATCCCCCCCAGTTTTCTGGTATTCTTGTAGTGCCATTTATCTTTTTTGCAAGATCTCCATTAATCTCTTATTGCCATACCATAACACTATTCTTAAGAATTTTGAAGTGCAAATAGTTGTGCTTCCAATCTTATTAAAATCATTACTGAAAGTTCATCACAGGTAGTTTTACTGATGTGTTCATCTGCAACCTGGTTATAAATTGACAAGCAATATAAAACGTTTGAGGAAACGTTCACCATAATTTATTTTGTTTGGCTGGTTTTAGATTCATGTCTGATTGTATTCTGACTCAAAGTCAAAATGAATGCTTATTGATGCAAATTGTGGTCAAGTGACTTCGGTAATTGTTCTTCGAAAATACAGAAAAGGATAAATTAAAAAGAGTCAGGACTTGATTCCTCATGTTCTGCCTCTAAATCTTGAATGATACATCAGAATGCATTCAGCTAAACTAGTCTAAGGAAAAGTCACCTGGTTCATAAGCTTCCTAGAGGAGCTCTTGTTGCTTTTATTTAGAAATTATTTATTTACATTTTTCTAGGAATTTTGATATTTTTGGTCCTATTGAGCACTTCATAACTTTGATTTCAGTGACTCTTTAGGCAGACATAAGATATAAAGAGAGTAGAGAATCTTGCTTATTCAAAAGAGAAGGCTAGTGAATCAGATTGTGTTGCCCTATGCAGTACAGCACAAGAGCCACTCTTGCCTACCATTCTGAACATGGCGTGGAGATCAGTCTGTTTACTTTGGATCCATTTTATTTAGCTGCCAGTTTCTCACTCTGCCTGAGGGGAAAGAGGTGATGTGAGCCAGCAGGCTGGGATTTGGGTCACTAGAAATCCCAGTCATTCTGAATCAGGTTTATTCAAGATCTTGCTTAGATCTGCATATAACTTTAATTTGACCTGTTTGTGCTGCCTTTCAGAGCCCAAGATTTTCTTCTTTGTAGGCTAGAGGTAAAAGAGGTATAACATAATCTTTTTTTTTTTTTAAGGGTTATGGTTTTACAGTGAAAAGTTGCAGCTTTTGACTTTCCAGTGTTATACATGTCTCTCTCCTACATTTTTGGCTTTTCCCATATTATTCTTTTCCTTTCAGCATTTATGCTAGTGATGTTGGTGACTTATTGCCTCAACATAATATGTTATTGACCCTAAACAGAGAGACAAAGTTCATTGTCTCTGACATCTGGTTCCTATTCATTCACCAAAATGATTTTCCTAATTTAATAACTATATGACTGAGTTCCTGACCAGTAGTCTGTACCAGAAAGTCACAGATTTTCTCTGTTTTTTGAAGTGCTGTATCTATTGACATGTTTTTTTAAAACCTTTCTTTTTAGGAAGGCATCAATTCTGTCTAAAAATTAGTACTTCACTGACTTTCACTTCAGTCCATGGAAAGTGCAATCAGTTTAGGCCCATACTAATTAATCCATAACTTGAGGAGGGATATGTTTTCTCAACACCATAATTGCAAATATATTGTTAACTTAGTTTCTGATCTTGGCAGTTGTTGAGGGCTTGAAATACTCATTGATTTTCATGGAAATTCTAGTGTTTGTTTCCTCTAGGGGTTGAGCTATAATTAAAAAGGAAACCCTTTAAAGGCACATATGGCAAATGCACACTTTACCACATTGAAAAGGGGGACCCATTAGGCATCCATCATCCATTAGTGCCTTTAAATATTTTCCCCATATTGGCAAATTCGGTTTCTGTGTTGTGAGTAATCAAGCACTGAAATGAAGCCAGCCCCTGTACTGCAACACCTTTTTTAACTGTCTGTCTGCAATTTTTCTGCTTCCCACCTTTATGCATTTGCCTTATGTGGTACTATTTCCTCATGTAATCTGGGTGCTCTTTCACATCCTGAATTCCAGTGAAAGCCTAAGCCTAATGTCTCCAATGGGTAGGGACAAGCCAGGAGGAAATACTCAGTCCAGGATCCCAGGTGGAATTTAGGCTGTGTGAATCCATGCCCCTGTATTCATGCTTTCAGTTCCTCTATGAGTGGAGAAGTGCAGAAGCTCCTGTAACCAAGACCAACAGCTACAGCTCAGGACAGCAATTGCAATAAGGTTCTGCTCTCCAAACCTGCATACCTTACTGTTCTGTAGAGATGACTAGCAGCTGTGAGGAGATGGAGAAGCTTGTACAGTTATCTTCAAAACTCTTAACATATACACACTGATCCTACAAAGCCTTTTGATTTTAGGAAAATTTGAGTTGATTTTTCCCGTGGAGAGGAAAACATGCTTCTCTCACCCATCCAAACACTCACAAGCAAAACTGAAGCTTCTTTGAAACCTGGAGATTTCTTAATGTAATTCTTTTTTCGTATTTTTAAGTTTAGGCAAGGTATTCGTTCTTGTTTTCTCTTTTCTTTAAATTAGTCTCAAAAATTTCCCACTTGCCTTAGATGAAAGAGAAAACAGGGTGGGTTTTACACTGAAAAGTATTAGACTGCAGTGGCCTGAGCTGGTGGTGCCAATACCACTAGCAGAAAGGTGGTCTAATAAATGCAGAAAGATATAGTATAAGCAGAGACAGTAATGATCAGATGTGACCCAAGTGCCACGTTTTGTTTTGGTGGAAAACTTATTGTTGTGAAGAAACTTTAGAAAAAAGATCAGAGCAAAATATTCCTCTATTCTTTAATGCTGAGCATTTGATGGACTAAGAAAAGGTGTTTGTTACCTAACATGTATACAAAGGAAAATAACTTTGTAGATATCTTTAGAAAACAAAGAATGTATAAATCTATCTTCGCACTGAGCTTGGCATTGAGGATGTATGTCTGCATTTTCTGCAGCACTAGATACTTGACAATGTTAACAAATTGTGTTCATATAATTTTCCTAGCAGAATCTAATGGTTCTCATCATGAATCTTTAAAAGGAAGATATTCTTATTAAGACTCAGCTGTATGAAACTTATTTTTCTCTGCCAACCTGAAAGAAGTGTTTCCAGTTTTTCAGGAAAGAGATCTTGTCAACTGTTACAAGGGCAGATCCTCAACTGAGTTAAACGAGTACAGAGTTATCCTAAATTACATGCCCAAGAGTTTAAAAAAACTGTGACACACTACTTTGTACCAGGTTTCTGGGCAAAATATTAAGGAGACCCTTGGAAAAGGTGAGAAAGAGCTGTCTTCACAATTTTGTCTAAAAGTGTGAGCTAAGCTTTGGCTTATTCAAATGTTACTTGACCTGAGTGTGGAAAGGCTGATCCTACAAAACCAGGATAGAATGGGAGCCTTGTTTTTCTGTGAGGAACAGGCAGATGTCTGACATCTGTGCAAACAGGGCTAAGCAGATCTGAACTTAAAAAATGGGAGAATCCCAAATTAGTACCTGTTGTTAATTAGTTCCTTTTTTTATGTTGCTCTAAACCAGTAGTAATTACAGTACACAGTACACAACCTGGTTTTTTTTTTTATGTTGCTCTAAACCAGTAGTAATTACAGTACACGCTATGCACAGCCATGCACAATTATTACATTTTCGTGAAAAATTGGCGAAGTTTTTTGTACTTTTTATCACTATGACTACTACTGCTTGTTTTAAATGATAGATCATGATAACAAAAGCAAAATCCGTCATAATATCAATATTATACTAATTGCCAAATGAAACAATTTGAACAAGAAAATCCACAGAATTGTATGTGGGGGGTAATTGCAATAAAATGTATCACTGAAAGAAGCTGAATC